GAGTACTACAGATTGGTATGGGGTTCATATGGCCCTGATGGAGAGTCAGCATCATGAGTGAGTGACCTTGCCTGGCTACACCTCTTCTTTCTCCTTCCTTTCTTCTTCCCTCACCATTTTGTCTTGCTATCTTACCAGGCATTCCTTCTCTCTCTGCTCATACAGAGAGTGCAGTGGTTTCAGTAGGGGTCACTAGCCACTTTGACAACACAAGTGAGAACAATGTTTGGAGCCTGTAGGCTTGTTCATATGTACTAAGAAATATTTTCGTGTTCTAGTCACTGTGCTCATTGCTGGCATGAGTGTTAGTACATACTGCTAACGGGCTTTCTGTTTCGTTTCTTAAACTCTGTTGTTTTCTCTCCCTCAGAATTGAGTTTCTGCGACACCTGAGAAGCTTCTTCCAGATCATGTTTAAAATTGAAACAAAGACCCCTGAGGAAGAGCACATGGGCGGGGAGAAAGTCTTAATGACGTGTGTTGGCATTGGATTTTCCAACCTTAGCAAAACTATAAGATAAGAAACATCTGCAGACTTCATGAAATGGGGTGACAGAAAACACTGCGAAGATCTGATAAAACCTGCCTTTCCCTGTGCTTATTCTGGCACAGGAAAACCAGTGATGATTCCAGTGCAGAGGTACCCAAGCTTGCTGTGTGTAAACAATAAAGCTGACTTTAGGCATTTTAGACCTGTACTGTTTATAAATGCAACGCCAGTATTCTGTGCTGCATGGAACGGCTGGCTGGCATCTCAGCTGGCTTGGGACGCTTTGCACTGTATTCCACTGCATGGGACACAAGTGCCTCTTATGTCCCTGTGCCCTCAAGCCTTAATGCAGTGGGTGTTCTAGTTTTGTGTATCTACAGACTCCACCCTTAGCTTTTTCTGAAAGGTTTAGATACAGAGGGAAAACAAGATTGACCAAAATGAGCTTTGCAGTGCAAAACAAATGATCACAACAGAAACATAAGATTCTTGAGGTAATTGCAGAGACAATATTGGCATGGAAATAGAAGTAAAGGTGTGACAATAATTTTTTGTTTATACATTACATGTGTATGGAATTTGTCAGATGCTTCATTCCTGCATACATTGACTAAATTAGAGTTTCACAGGAAGAAAAAAATATCTGTCTTTTAATTTTCCTTAATGTTAGAATACTGCAGAAGAGATCACAGCCTCTACTGACTTGTTTTAGCCTCCTCTGCAAAGATGGGCATGGGAGGAGAAACCTCCTTGACAGTTTTTTGACTTATCGCATATGTTCTTTTTAGGTTTGTTTGGCATGCCACACGCTGCAGTTCACAACTAGTTGTGAAAGGTAGCAAAAAAGAGCTGTAGGCTTTGAGGGAGAAAAATATTTTCAGTTACACCATCACATTTTGTGCAGCTGCTCCATTTTGGAAGAGGGGATAATGGTGTATGGGCACTGCTTGGATTGACAGGTGCAAAAAGTTTCTACCAGGATATAAATACTTACCCAAGAAAGGCTTTTGGTAGATTCCAGGCAACCCTGCTGAAGTTAATGCTGAACTCCTGACACAAGGAAAGAAATTTATACTTGACTTCAGACTACACTTGATGTGTCTGGAGTAAAATAAAACCATGTCAAAAGCTGGTATATAAAGTAGAGCAAATACTAGTGACTGTGTTATAATGGTCTTACAAACTTTATCTGATGCCACTGTAAAGTGGGCATTACCTCTGTAATATGAAAAATTTATATTGGACCCAAAAGGACTTTGACATAAAGTTTGGTATTTGATTAGTGTTTTATTAACTATTGCAAGCTGTGTGAGTAATTCTTGTACTGTACTTTGTTCTTGTTGCAATCTGTCTAAACATGTTTTGGAAAAATAAAGTATTTTTTCCTAAATAAGGTTTTATTTCCCTTCAAAACAAAACAAACAACAACCAAAAATCCCTCTTCCCCAGCCTTATAAGATGGCACTTCAAAAGATAAATGGCTATTTTGAACTGACACATCAAAAGAACAGCTTTGGGAGTTGCCAGGGTGGGAGGAAGGGATGGGAGGAAGGGAGAGGGCAGACCCCTTCTTACAATTTACTAGCTTTCCAAAATTTGATTTGCAGCTAAGGAAACCCTAAATAAAACAGTAGAATGTGAAATAAAATTCTCTGACTATATTTTTTTCAACTTCAAGTTACATTAGGAAAAAGTATGTGGACAAGGAAGAATTTACCTTGCTCCCTTCTGTCACCTATGCAATGAAAAAGCTCGAAACTCTCCAAATTAAAATTACCCTAAATACAGGGAGCCACTGATCCAAAAGATGAAATGTACAAGCTGAGATGAATAGCCACTAGAATAAAAATATAAAGCTTACACTAATTAGAGATACAAGTTTGTAGCATAGCTCAGATTTCCAAAGCTGGCCTAAGTAAAAATTTGGAAGTATTGTCACAATTTCAAAAATCAAAAGCTTTATTATCTTTAAACTTTTAAAGCTCTTAACTTTGAAGCTCTGACAGCTTTTCCAAATGTTCCAGTTGCACCAAACATAGAAAGGGCAATGTGTTGCCCAGGTAGCAGATTCTTTAGCAATAGAGTAATTATTACTCTATGTGCTTAACTGAACATCAGTGTTAAAGTTAGACTGCTAACCCTTAGCCCTGCTGCAGATTGCATAGCTTTACAGCAGAACACTTGCCATGACTCAGAATTGCTTGTTGCTTTACAGAGAAAAAGATAGGTATATGAAAGGAATATGTTTTTCCAGAACAGCCAGTCGCTGGAGAAACAGGAACAATTCCAGAGGAGGTTTTAGGTAGGAGCTTTCTTAAAATTGTTTGACCTTCACATTCTGTGAAAAGTACTTATTAGGAGGATATCCTGCAGATAAAAGCTGTTTGTTTATCGGCAGAACAGCGATTAACACCCGTTTTGGTGGACTGATCTCACAAGCAGTAAGATAGCTTAATTTCCTCTGTCCAGCATTAAAATTGATTTTTGGTGAAGACAATACTCTTTGTAGCCACAGACTTTATGGTAAGGATACTAGTTACTAGGAGATGCATCATTCATCTCCATCCATCGTGGCAGATTTAATACTCAGATAATTTGAATTTGAACTGATTAGCTGTATGTGAATAATCCTGTACTCTCTGAGCTATCCATCAGCAATGTCGTTAATCCCTTTGGGTGAACAACTCTCGTAATACCCTTCTGCTGTGATTGGAAACTTTTCTGCTTACAGAAAATTCAAGGCTGGACTATAAGGAGGTACAGGTATGGGAGGGGACTAATTAACATAAGTATTTCATAATGTGCATTTTAATTGCAATAATTTTAACGTACGGGGAGAGGGTGAAGAATGCACAGGTTTGGGAGAGAACTAATCAGAACACCTCATTAAATGGAGAATCTCTTCCTTTAAACTTGCCTAACAGGCTGCTGCAGTGGTGATATCAAAAGAATTTGCAATATGTGCCTTTACCTTGCACCCGCTTCCACTTTTGTAATATCTATTGTCAAACTCTCTTCCATTTCTAAGCTAGCATGGTAACTTGACTGCATCTTCTGTGGTTATGTCAGAAAATTCATGTTAACTTGCTGTAGGACAGGTTCTGGAGTAGTAGAGATTATGCTGAAGGTGAAATTGCTTCAGTCCAAGCCAGTGCACTTTACTGAAGGTGTATGACTAGAAGCTGATGCAGTAGCTGGGGAAGCACGCAGTAGGTAAGTTAGCTAGGCCAAAACAGTAAGTACATGGCTGTCTTGGGTAATGTTTTCAAAATGGTGATTATGTTACTGCCAGAGCATAGATATTCTCTCTCTTCTTCTCCTTCCCCACAGGTGATATTATGAGTCAAATGGATTTTGTTTCAAGCCACTGAGGCATAATTCTGCTGCTTGCAAGCTCTGACATTCACTTCCCCGTTTTTCAGTCATGCTCTTGAGACAGCAACAGGAGGAAAAAAAGACAAAGAAGAAAAGTACCAGCTTTCAGGAGGCGTAATTTTGCCTATGAGTTTCTTTCTCATTTTTTGATACTGTATGGCCATCTCCACACTTTTATTTTGTATGTCTGATGAAAGCATTTCTATTTAGTCTAGATCCTAGGGGATACCAAGTGAGACATGCAGCTGTCTCAGAGCAACTCTAAATGAAAGAAGAATGTTGAAGGGGCATATTTTACAGTTACTGCTTAGGTCTTGGTAAGCTCTGTCTTAAAAGATCATTCTTGGGATATGTACAGTTTTCCTTGTGTCTGATCTAGGAGCAGCACTGACAAGCTCGGAAAAACACGTTATTACTTGTTGTCAGTGGGAGGGGTAAAAAGACAGAATGTCCTGCAGGGAAGAGAGTGTGTGGGTTGAAACTCTGCGGTGACAGCATTGTGTGTGTAATGAACGTAAGTCATGTACTGCGTCAGAGCATCACAATGTCCAAATAGCACTTATGCTAGCTAAAGTTAAGTTAGACATTGTTATAAGGCAGATTTGTTAGGATGATTTGTAGTATATCTGTAGCAATAGATGTTGGGTGTGAGTGCTAATTTCCCTCCTGGAACAGTAAGATTATTATATATACACACACACCAAGAAAAGTGCACAGACCTGTATTCCCTGTGTACAACAGAGTATAGAAACAACTGTGTTTGTGGAGGTAGCAATCAGGAGACCCATGGAGAAAATGCTTTATTATAAACTGGTATTGATCAATGATCTAACCACAAGAAAACAATGGCCAAAAGCAACTCTTTACATCAGGGTGAACGGTGGCTGGGAGCCTGCCACTGCTGGCAACCCCTCTGCACAACTGTGCAGCTTTTAAGGGGGGCCCTTTGTGCACACCAGGGATACACTGGTGTCTTTGTACATTTGCCCTCATGCTGTGTGTCTGCTAGATTGTCCACACTCACCCTGCGCTTCTCTGTATTGGTTTGGCCACACTTCCCTGGCAGCCTCCACTGTGCTGTTCACACAACAAACATCAATACTCCTTTAACAGTAAGCCCGTGGTGGAAATCTGTAGGGTCCTTGTGGAGACTGATCCATGTGAGGTACCCAGTGCTTAACTATGGATGAGCTAGTAGGATTAAGGGCTTAGTTCTAGTGATCATCACTACATGTCAGCGACACGTCCCATTATACAAAATGTGACAGGCTCGGTAGGGCACCTGTGTTTGCAGGCTGCATCAACAGTCACTCCGTTTGAGAACAAATGTCTTTCTCCTCCCTTCTAACCTGCAACCACTCTGCTCCTTGAAAGTTACTTACACCTTTTCCAACCCTAAACTGCCTCCATGGATAAGAAAAGAAGTTGCTTTAGCCAGCGATGAATGTAGATATATCCTGTAAGGTAAGACTGTGGTTCTGAATGGTCATCCCTCAGCGGCATCAGAGCAGACAATTCTCTTCCACGTGTCGAGAAATGTAGTTTTGATTTGGTATAAAATACTATGCAGGCTGGGTCTAGACCAAAATATGTATGAGTTTTGATTATTTATTCTCTTTTTTTTTTTTAACATCACCGAAGTGGAAAAAAGAAAAAAAATAAATTATGGCTTGTTTGTGTGTCAGCATTCAGAAGGGGCCTGATTCAGTAAAGCTTCCCGAGAGATTTGTTTAAGTATGTGTATTAAGAAACACATCTACAGATTCAGAATGTGTCTGCGGGAAAGGGTTTCTACTGCAGAATGCTTCCAAGCACTGAAT